GCATCCTGCCTCCTCTGCGCACTGAGGCTACAGAATCATCTGACTCAGACAGTGGTGATGCAGGTGACTCCAGCTATGCCAGAGGTATGGCAGAAATCAGTGCCCAGAAGCCAGGGTGGTGAGGGAGTAGAGCAGATTGGTGACAATCACCTGGACAGGCACTCAGCTTTCAGGATAATTGTAGAACAAGTGATGTAGTGAATATACATACCATAGTAATCTACAGGAGAGGGCTTGAGGGACCAGAGAGAGTGTGATGGGCCTGGGTAAGACCCAAGACCTAGCTTTTGCCTTTAGAAACAGACACAACAATCATATGTAACAGTCAGAACTCCTTGAAGCAAGGTGGCATCACACTGTCAGAGAGAAGGGAATGTTGGTGCTAGATCTGCCAAGGAGTCACAGGAAGTAACTGAATGTAGAGTGTAGGGAAGGGTTTCTTCTTCAGATGGCTTCTCAGATTTAGAGCTTGGTTGCCTGGTAGGTAGGGCAGAAGAGATCTTGGCAGATGGAAAATGTGTCTAGGTAAAATAGAGATTTCAGGAAATGAAACTAGGTAATGTATAGTCCTCCTGAGAAATTGGTTAGGATGAAGGTAGGAAGATGTCTCAGGGAACCTGTGATGTGAATTGGTGGTTTCTGAGCTCCTATCCATAGTAGCAGATAGTAAGCTGAAGCAGTGAAGTTGGTTACAGTAGAGCCATCTGTCCAGACAGAGTTGCCAGGAGTAACCACAGCATGCTTGGAGAACCTGAGGGGACCAGAAATCCAGGAGATCAGGCCCTACCTCGGATCTGAGTCCTTGGGTAACATTGACTGGAACCTACTACTTGAGTCCTCTGTCTCCCACAGTGGTGGAACCACAAACAGTGGACACTGGGACCTGCAGTTCTGCTTTTGCCGGTTGGGAGGTACACACACGGGGCATTGGCTCCAAACTCCTCATCAAGATGGGCTATGAGTTTGGCAAGGGTGAGTGTGTGCTGTCCTGAGATGGGAGGGATGCCTCAATATAGCCCAAGAGTCTGGCAGAGGTAGCACAAAGCCCTGTCTTTCCCAGGTTTGGGTCGGCATGCAGAAGGCCGAGTGGAGCCCATCCATGCTGTAGTGTTGCCTAGAGGGAAATCACTGGACCAGTGCACAGAGATACTACAGAAAAAGACAAAGGGAGGCCAGGCTGGGACCAATAGGCCTCCAAGATGTCGGAGGAGTGGTGGTAGACCCGAGGCCCGCCCACCCCCTCGGAATGTGTTTGACTTTCTGAATGAAAAACTGCAAAGCCAGGCATCTGGGACTCCAGATGCTGGGGTGGACACTCCAGGGAGAAGGAACAAGGACATGTATCATGCCAGCAAAAGTGCTAAGCAGGCTCTGAGTCTGCAGCTCTTCCAGACTGAGGAGAAGATTGAGCGGACCCAACGAGACATCCAGGGCATCCAGGAGGCCCTAACCCGGAATGCTGGCCGGTATGTATGGGTCCAACTGAGGCAGTGTGGGCTCTAGTGGCTGTGCTCACAGGATGCCTGCTGAAGGTCACCTGACCAGAGTAGCCCCTGAGTCTGAGGTGGTCTGAGTGTTGGAGGACGGGAATTGGCCACAAAGCTGGGGGCCTGGTAGTGGGGAGCCAGGGACAGTGCTGACCAGCAGGCTCTCCCTAGGCACAGCATGGCAACAGCCCATCTGCAGGAGAAGCTGGAAGGAGCCCAGCGGAAGCTGGGTCAGCTGCGTGCTCAGGAGGCCGGCCTACAGAGGGAACAGCAGAAGGCAGATACTCACAGGAAGATGACAGAGTTCTAGCAGCCCTGCCTGTATTGTGGATAGAGCCCTGGGACCCAACTCCCAACCGCCTTGACAGAAAGACAGCCGTCACCCTGACACCTAAACAGCACCTGAAAGAAGGACCAGCCCATTTCCTAGGCTGTCCCTTATTCAGCCTTGTCTGTCTAAAGTGTATGAACACTACCGAATAGATATGGGATGTCAGGGTTGGTTTTGAACACTTATTTGCCCGCCAAGCCCACTTACCAGTGTCTTGGGGTATCTCCTTAGTGAGGACATTAAAGTGATCTCATCATAATTTCTCTCACTGGAGACTCAGCTGGCTTCAGGATCTCTGGGGACAAATGCATCTGTGAGGGTCCTGGCAACAGACAGGTGGGCTGGGGGGGGGGGGGCTACAAAATGAGGCCACTGCCTCTGTCTAAGGTCCAAGAGAGGAGCATTTTCCGTCTTCTCTCTTCTCTGACCAAGTGATTAAGATCCTAGGGTGGCCCTTGTGCCTAGTACTCACAAACAGATATGTGAGGTAGAAACACCTTTGGGGAACACTATCAGTGATGAAAGCGGGCAGGCCTGACTCAAGTGGGTTTGGGGTTCATTTCTGGTTTTGGGCTGCCACTGATAATCCATCCAGTTGACCTGCTGTGTCCACCTCATTAATGGGTATCTGCCTCATTGGGGTGGAGGGGACTGTGTTAGTTTTATGATAATTGCCTCTTGGTGGCAAATAGTCACGAGGAGACGTGAGGAGGCGAGCAGAGACTGTGGGAGCAACTACGCAAGAACTCTGTGGCTGCTGGGAGGCGCTCAGATGCACAGGAAGTGAGGTGAGGAGCTCACCAGCAGCCACAAAGACCTTCCTGGCTGTCCTAGACAGGGCCAAGCAGCAACCTCACGGTGGCCTTGGTAAGTACTGCCCCCATTCTCCATCCTGGGCCAGTCCCCAAGCCTCTCCGTGCCCTGGGGTCTGGGAGGGATAAGTCCTGCCTGGTCAGGAGATTGAGACTTGGCTGTAGCCAGGTTAGTGAACTCGGCCCCCCTCTGTGTAAGATGCCTACACCCCAAGCTTGAACAGACAGGCCCTTACCTCAGAAGACTGTTCACCCTCATTTTGCTCACCCTGAACTCTTAGGTGAGCCCCTAATCAGCTCTTCTAAGGGCAACTCTAGGAAAAGCAGGGATCCTGGGAAGGGAGGAGTAGGGTGGGGATACTTTGCCTTCATAGCAGCTCTTTCTGTCCAGTGCCCCCCCCCCAACTGCTTAGCTTCTGTAGTGAGTAGTCTAGGAACATCACCTGACACAAGGGGTCACTCCTGGGCAGTGGTGGCTGGAGGTGAGGTCTGTGGTCTGTGGCTCAAAGTCAGAGTGATATCAGAGATTTCCCCCAGATAATGGGTTTGAGCTACAGTGAGTACAGTATAGCCTTGTTCAGGTCATAGCTGCCCCTGGCCATGCTCCTCCATTTCCATAGCCATCTCTGATAACTAAAGGAACCCTAGCCAAAGAGGGATCAGTGGGTGCCCATGGGGCAGGGCAAAAACGCAAGGCCTGGGGGTTTCCGGTGTGCTGAGTCAACCAGGGAGGAAGAACCCACCAGCTGGGCAAGATCTGCAAGTAGAGCTGCAGGTGTGCACTGGTTCCCCAGTCAGCCCCCAGCGCTCATTTTTTCTGTCCTCAGGTCCTCTTCCCTGCTTTACAAGATGAGGCCACCAGTGCCTTCAGCCCCACTAGCACTCTGGGTCCTGGGGTGCTCCCTGCTCCTCTGGCTGTGGGCACTGTGCACAGCCTGCCACAGGTATGTGCCTGGGGTTCTGTCTGCCCTCCTCCTGTATGGCTCAGAGTCAGAAGTCACAACAGAGAAGTCCATATGAGGGCTCTGCATGTGCCTCTCTACACTGAGCCTGGGCCAGCATCTGATCACCCCTGCACCTTCCTCTGCCTACTGGACTAACAGCACTCTTGCCCCCAGGAAGCGGGCTCAAAGGCAACAAACTGGGCTACAGGGCAGTTTGATACCAGTGGAAATGGTGAGTGCCAGACTGTCCCTGGGGTCAGGGCAAGGACAGCAGGGAATCAACCAGCCTTCCTTGTCCCTAGTCACTGCTGAGACAGACCCACCTCTGCTCCCTCAGCAAGTCTGACACCAGATTGCATGAGCTTCACCAAGGCCCACGCTGCAGCATAGGTGAGCTCCTGGGAGGCCATAAATGTAGGGCCAATCCACTGGGGCTAGTCCTATTTCCTTATTCCCTCAGTGGCCTCTGCCTTGATCTTATCCCTAGCCCCACGGCCTGCTAGCATGGATCTACTGCATCCACACTGGCTGGAGGTATCCAGGGGCAGCACCAGGTCTCAAGTAACTCCCTCTGCCTTCCCACCTCGGCAGCTGCCCAGGGCCCCTCCTGCTGCCCTTGCAACTGCACCTTCTACTAGTCCCGAGGCCACTTATTCCAATGTGGGGCTGGCTGCGATTCCCAGGGCCAGCCTGGCTGCTAGCCCTGTGGTATGGGCTGGAACACAGCTGACCATTAGCTGTGCCAAGCTTGGGCCTGGGGCTGAGTATGCCTGCATCCAGAAGCGCAAAGAGACAAAGCAGGGCTACCAAGAATTGCAGCAGAAGGCTAAGGTGATCCCAGCTACTCAGGTAAAGTGAGCTGGGGTAGGGTAGGGTAGATGGGACTGAGCCCACCTTTGGCAGAGGACAATGCCAAGCTCTCCCTGGGGTTGCTTCCTCTCCAGATGGATCTCCTGTACTCCAGGGTCTGCAAGCCTAAAAGGAGAGACCCAAGACCTGACACAGATCAGCCGGACCCCCAGGGTGGGAGTGATGTGGAATATGAGGCCATCACTCTCAGGGGCCAGGATATGAACCAAGATCCCTTAGAAAATGTGTATGAAAGCATCAGGGAGATGGGCCCCTGAGAAGTTGAGGCCTTACATCCTGTTTATTAACATGAGCTGACATGGTAAGGGTACCAAGGCTTCTGCCTCAGCAGGGTTTGACTGCAGATCCTTCTGTGTCCTTCCACCCCCACAGCTGACAGCACAAATTTCAGGTCCAGTCCTTGTGGCCTAATTAAATCTCTGTCACATAAGATTGGCTCTCAGTTGCTTTTTTTGAAAGCTGGGAAGGTTGGAATGGGAGTTTTCTGAAAGGGTTATAGATATCCCTTTCTGACCTCTGGGAGAGTTTCCTCATACCTGGTCCCTGGCCCCTGATGTCATGACCTGGTTGTAAGACTCAGAAGTCAGTGGGTGGGAAGAAAGGCAAACAAGCCCTTTGCTGTGGTGGTTTCCCAGGCCAGAGGGTCTGGGACAGCATGGCCACTTAGAAGTGTGGGATCTAGACTCTCAGATCCTCCTGGAGCCTCTGCTACCATCCCTTGAGGTTATATAAGTAGGCAGAGGTAGACAATCCAGCATTTAAAGAATAACTTGCTCCTAGGAGGCTGGCCAAGAAAGTGCAGCCCTTTCCTAACTCTGATAGCTCAGCGCTTACCCGGGGCTCTTGGGGGAAACCAGCCCTTGGGCTGCAGTGTGCGCAAGGCCAGGGCGTGGAAGCAGTTAGCCTGAGTTGAGCCCCCCCCTCCACTACCGGGGCAGGGCCAGGCGCGGACCACTTAGGGTGCTTGTCTCCTGTGCGCACCGGGGCGGGGCGTCGTAGTGGGTGTAGTCCGTCAGGCAGTTGCGGGTCGTGCGGGTGGAGGCCGGATGCTGGGTGGGGGTCGGCTGGCCTGGCCCTGACCTGGGGCGCAGTCTAGAGAGTCCAGCCTTACTTCTGTAACATAGGCTTCCAGATGACCATGGAGGCTGAGCGCCCCCGGAACTGGGTTGGGTCTGTGAACGTCACCCGCCCCACTCTGAGGGTCAGGACCTAGGGTCTGTAGCCTCCCAAGATCCTCGGCTGCAGATCTCGACTCAGTGCCTAAATGCAGAGGGCCTGAGTCAGCGCCACGCCGGTTACTGTGCCCACACCACCACAGGTACCAGTGGGCAAGGGCACTGCCAAAGTTTCTTTCCCTGCAAAGATGGTGTGGGGTCTGCACAAACTTTGGGGCCTGAAGGCGTTGGCAGCTGGGGGTGCTGCGCCGGCCTGTGCGTGTCTGTGGGTCAGGCCAAGTGGAGCTGAGGGGCCAAGCAGATGCTTCCCGCCACCGGAGCAGGGGGCGGGGCTAGGGCGGGGCCATGTGGTCCACACTAGCTTTATCGGGTGTGGGAGTTGGGCGCCAGATTTGAGGTGGAGTCTGGGGTCCCTAGGCCAACTCCTCCACAGAGCTCTCCAACCCCTATTTTCAGCGCCCTTCTATAGGTGGCAGCCTTGTAGGCTTAGAGTTCTCAGAGCCACAGGAGCCTCAGCATGCCCCCAACGCCTTCTGATCACATCCCAGTGCCAGTAAAGAGGTGAGGTGGGGGCTGATGCCCAAGACTAGGAGTGTGTGTGTGTGTCTGTGTGTGTGCTGCGCCAGTGTGTGCTGGAGCAGTACATGCTGGCACAGATGTCAGCTTTTGAAGGTTTCAGTGGAGAAGGAGACAGAGTCCCAACCTATCTAGGAATCTGATTCCCTGGCTTCCACCTCCCCACTTGCCAGCCCTATACTCCTGACTAACTGTGCAGCAGAAGTTAGGGACCTGCCTGTGCTTAGAGCACAATTTCCCTAACTGCTGCCAAAGGCTTGCTGCTCTGCCCTCCTAGGCCTGGCACTTGACCCACAGTTGCTGTTGCACAACCACGGTTAATGTGTGTTGGTGGGAAGAGCTGAGCCATAGCTGGCCTCGCCCCTCATGGTGGGCCTTCAGACCTTTGCTCAGCACCAGGGTCTGAAGGAGCCATTGTGGAACAAAGCCCGGGTTATGGAGAACTCAGGCCTTTTGTGGATCCCCATCCTGTTCTATGGTTCCTGGATTTTCAGCTCTGCAACCTGAGCTGGGGGTGGAGCCAGGGCTCCTGCCCAGAACTTGGAGTGAGGCAGCTTGATGCCCTCATGTGTCCAAACCCAGCACCTGTATGCTGGACCAGGGGAGGAGCCTAGAGCACTTGTTGAGCTCTGACCTCATCTCCAGCATAGCCCCCAGAAAAAGCCAGGCTGGAAGAGGTCATGGCTGCTGCAGCCCTTACAAGCCTATCTACCAGCCCTGTCTGTGTGGGGGCCCTAGCTGCAACCTTCCGCCGAGGTGAGACTCAGAAAACTATGCTCAAGTATGGACAGAACTTCTGTTACTCCAGGATACTAAAGCCACCAAGCCTCAAACCTAATATGCCACCTTCTAAGCTTGCCTCAAGCTCTCTAAGAGACATCTGGACCCTGAGTGCCCCTCATTGAGGCCAAAACTGTACCTCCACTTTGCTGGCCATGTTGCTTCCTGGCCATGCCAAGCACGCCTACCTTTTCTCTGCTAGAGAAGCTTCTCTCCAAGTCTCTGAGGCCAAATTCTCCTAGTTGCCCCCACTCCTCAAGGCTCACATCAACAGGAGGCAACTCAAAATCAGGGACTTGGAGAGAACCAGCAGGCAGCAGTTTCTGCAAAGCAGCTTGAGACTTCTGAGCTTCTAAATGGAGTGTCCCTGCAGAATCTGGCTTGGAGCCTTGGAAGGAGGCCAGCCATGTCTTCTCCATCCGCTCCATCACCCCCACTGCCCCCAGAAGCAACCCACCTTCTGTTTGGGAGGCCACCCTGAGAAAAAAGAAGGTAAGTATGGGAAAATCCCCTCCATGGGTGTGCTGGACAGGATGGCTACTGATGACATAGGCCCCTATCACTCCAGAGCTCTATTCAGGTCATGTTCCAGTGCCTGTGGAAGAGCTGTGGGAAGGTGCTGAGCACAGTGTCCGGGATGCAAAGACACATCCACCTGGTGTACCTGGGGTGCGGTGGGACTGGGGGGTTGGTCAGGGTGGGGTCAGGCCTGGCCAGAATTTATGCTCTCTCTCACTTTGCTGTTCCTGGCAGGAGACAGGCAGAGCCAGAGCAGAATGATGGGGAAGAGGACTTCTACTACACAGAGCTGGATGTTGGTATGGACAAGCTGACTGACAGGTTGTCCAGCCTAACACCAGTGTCTCCTCCAGTCTCCATGCCACTTACCTTTCCTCATGTGGAGTTCTTAGAGCTACTGGAGGCCTCCAGTTCTTCCCAACCTGCCACATCCCCTAACTTGGCTTCCACCTCCCAAGCTCAGCTCTTCAGCTGTTCCACAGGTATGCCACAGTGACCAAGCCTACCAGCAAGGTGAGGCCACATGGAGATTGGGGACAGGTCTCAGAGCACTCTAGTGAGAAACAGGGGTTGTGACTCCTTCCAGAGATGCCACAGCCCACTGAGGCCCAAGCCTACATACCAGCCCTGCCTGCTAAGCTTGGGGTCAACCTGAGGTATGTGTAGGTTGAGGGGCTGGGCATATACTAGGTGGTAAAGGTCTTAGCTGACAATTCTCCATGCCCCCTGTATGTCCCCTCCAGGAAGCCCTGGGGTGATGCCAAGAAGTGCCGGAAAGTGTATGGCATGGACCACAGGGACCTGTGTACACAGCCTGCCGCTGGAAGGAAGTCTGCCAGCAGTTCCTGGAGTGAGCCCATCCCATGATGCTACTGCCTGGCCTTCCTCCCACTCCCAGCCTGAAGCTACAGCAAACCTGTGGTGGATTTGATTACTCTGGACTCCTAAAGGTGGAGGAGTGACTGACTACTCAAAGTGCCTTGGAAGAAACCAGCCTTTTGCACTAAAGCCAAACTGCATGTTGTCCTTTTAGCTCCAGGGGCAGCTTGCCTCCCTGCCTGTCACTCACAGACATGTCAAAGATGAAAGTGGGCTCTGCTAAAGCCTGTTTAAGTTGCACTTTGAGAGGTCTCAGGGAGAGTATTCTCCTGCCCACATTTAAAGGTGGTGGTTCCAGGCCCCCCCTGGGGCTGACATTTTACCATGTTAATGAAGTTCAGGTGTCTTGTGTCTGGGCTATATCAGCCAAAGAGAAAAATTAAAAACTGTGGGGGTTGTTTGTTTGTTTAGTTTTCCAGAAACCAATGTTTTCTCCTGGGGAAAGAAATGGAACTAGGAGAGTAATGGGGAATGAATGATAAGCAGTAGAGGCTGGCGGCTACCTCCATTCAGGTTGAGGTCCAAGGAAGGGTACTGTTTGAAACCACACAGGAGGCATCTGCATGGAGCAGCAATTTCCCATTTTATTTGAAGTGATCATTTTGCAAGAATGTCTACACTAATCCCATCACAGAAAGAAAACCCACAGGCAACCTGGAGCACACCTAGGCAGACAAGAAATCGCAAGAACCACTATAGAGAAGGTAATCTTTACTTGTCTGTGGCTATATAGAAGCAGGACAACAGGGCTGTGAACCCCACCAACTGATTATGACAAGCCTTCTGCAAATATTAACCACATCTTCAGTACAAACACAGGTTTATAATAATTAATATAAAGTCAATATAATATAGATTATCTCCAGAAAAAAAATCAACACTCTTCAAACACTGCCTTTTTTTTTCACTTTTTGTTGACAGATTGAAAGCATGTTGAAAAATAAATAAATAAGAAAAGCATACACACAGCACCCTCACTACAAGTGATTCTAAAAGAGCCACATACAAAACACAATAGGATCTAAAAAATACCACCACCATTAAGTATGGCTTTCTTAGGAGTTGTATATGTCATAGAATGAGCCAAAGTAAGATTATCTTTCATAATATTGCAAAAAGTTCCAGTTTTGCATTTTCTCAGGTTTTTGTTTTGTTTGTTTTTAAAGGAAGATGTGCAGAATTGGAAGCATAGCTGTGTCTTTTGAGTTAGGTCCCTGTCAAGTCCTAGCAGTGTCCTGTTCCCCAAAACTCAGAGTTAAGTATGCAAACTGGTCAGGATCCAGAGATCCGTACAAAAATCGTTTTGTTTTCCCACCTCAACCCTAACACCACCCACCCCATGGACTATATTTTCCACTTTGGTGTTTCAAACACCAAAATACACACACAAAAAATACAAAATGTGAAATGTAATCTACACATTTTCTTCATAAAAAAATATTTATTAGTTTGAACATTGAATAAAAAAAAGTCACATAAAAAAAAAAAAAACTTCAATACATACGTCCTTTCCCTCCATGCCTCCTGAGATGGATGTGTTCATCTGGATCTCTAGAATTCCACTTTCCAATTGGAAACTGAGCCAGAACTAAGCCTGTCACATGGCAAACACTTGGAAGGTGGTAGGACCAGAACTGGAACCCTTAGTTTTCTGGTACAGTACTGGTTTTAAGGAAGTGCCCTGCGGTACCAACAGGGAACCCCCAGAAAGGCCAGCAAAGGCAGTCTGGAAGTGGGGCCAGTCAGAGCAAGACATCCTGAGAGTGGAGGGCACAGGTGCCTTGGGAGGTGGGCCAGAGGTCCTGGGTCCTGGGCAGGACAGCCTGAGAAGTAGGGACTGATACAAAAACCCAGAGACAGTGGTAGCAAAGGTCTAGTTTCCAAATGCATTTTATAAGAAAGTGTTTAGAAAAGGCAATTTAAAAGAGAGAGGAAGGTACTAAGTCTGTTAGCCCTCAAGGGGCCTGGCAAGGCTAGACAGTCTCAACCTGGAGTTCTGTTGGTAAAAGGGGGTCTAGCTATGCTACCATACTGGACGGAAATGTCCTCCAGAACCAGCATGCCTCAGAGGAGAGGACAGTGAGTAGAGGGGCACACAGCTTTCAGACAATGGTTCCTAAACTCTGTAGAGAGTCCTGGCCCTGTTCCTCTTGACTGTTGTTTTGTTTAAAATAATAAAAGCTGTGATTCCTTCCTCCTGTAGCTCAGGCAGCTGGTACTTGGGGAATGTCACCAGGTGACATGCTCTGTATAACCAATTGGGACCTAAATTACAGTTTTATGGGGCTTCCTCTTACCTAGAGAGAACAGATGTGCCAGTTTAAAAAAAATGTCTAAAAGCCATTTGACTTAGTGTTTGGGAAAGGGAAAACAAAATTCTCTAACTGGCCCTAATGCTCAGTAGCCTGATGAGCCCTTGCACAGAGTAGGTTAGCCCACAGCACCTCAGCAGAGCGCTCACTACACTGCTCACTGAACACTGCAGTGGGCTTTTGGGAGATGAGGTGGGTGAGGGATGGAATGTCTTGATAGTTTGTCAGAAATGGCCTCAAGAAGAGGGCAGGCTGCAGCATCTGTGTCTACCCTGCAGGTTAAGTGGACAGCTGCCTCTCTGGGCCTCAGAACCATGGAAATGAAGCCTACACTTTTCACAGAACAAGTGTGAGGGCCTTTAGAAATAGAGAAAGTGGACTTGATGAAAAGTTAAATGAAACCACTCCTGTAGAGTCCTGTCAAATGAGAAAAAACAATTCAAAACAAAGTAGCCTGTAGTAACCATCTGAAAATGTCTCTGACTTCTTTAAAATTTGGTTCCTAGGCAGGGAGGCATCAGCAGCACACTGCAGCTAGGAACACCCACCTCCAGTGTTAGCAGCAACAAAGGCAGGAGCTTGAGCTCTATCTGGTCCAAGGAGGGGTCAGCAAGGGCTCAGGCAGAACTCAGGGTGCACAATGGGGCTCTCAAAGAAAGTGCACACAGAACAAAGAGCTGTGGCCCTTGCAACTCAACCCTGTGGGCCTGAAAGGGTAAAGCATCCAGCCACAGGGCCCTTCTTGAACAGAGCCTTCTTCCTCTTTGGCCTGCCACTTGGGTAGCTGCTTCCAACAGAGATAGCACCTGGAGCCTGGGGCTTCCAGAGAGGCATCTGCAGCCACTTTGTGTTTAAGCACCAAAGCCTGGAGGTAAGAGGGTTGCAGGGCTTTATGCCCACTAGATTCTACCAGCTGCCATGGGGCAGCAGGAACCAAGAGGACAAAGTGACAGGGCCAGAGCCCATAACCTGACTGCCGGAGAATGGGGGTGGAAGGAGATCGAGCAATGCTGTGGATGCAGCAGTTTGTATTTATGCTAAACTCAACACCTACTCAGACCTGTGGGCTGGGGGATTGCCCTCATGACCCTAACTAGTGCTGACCCTGACCTGGCCACTGAGTCATCTTGCATTCCTAGCCAGGTTCACAGCAAAGGGCTCCTTTGATACCCTGAGGAAGCATGCCCAGGCCTTGGTGCAGCCCTGCCCATACATCTAGACACACCTGCTGGGGACTCCATTAATACCTGGACAGGTGGGAGTAGGCATTCTCCCTTTTCCTAAACCCATACTGTACCCCTCACTTTGTGTTTAGTCCTAGTGCTCCCCAGTCACTGGAGTCACACCCACTTCTTAGCTCATAGGACCAATTTCTGCAAGAGGGGAGGGTTATAGGACAGAGGAGGGCCCGGAGGAAGAGCTTCAAGGAGTCAGCATGGCCCTGCTCCTTGGTAAGTAAAGACCCACTAAGACACACACAGGTGGACAAAGCGATTCAGCCACCACCCACCCTGCCCACCAGAGCAGAGCCCCTAGGAGATCCAGGCAAAGTCTTTATCAGGTTCCCCAGAAGGGCTGCGGGGCCCCTGGGGAGAGTCCTCGTCATCCTTGTCATCTCCCAGCAGTGCATCCTCATGTGTCAAACCCACGTCGTCCTTCCATTTGGCCACATCCTCATCCTCATCCTCACCTAGCTCCTCTTCACCTTCCCCTCGTGGATCATCGGGGTCTTCCAGGTATGGCCCTTCACCAGCAAACAGTGCCTCAGGGGAGCCCTCACCACCTCCACCATGGTCCAGTGGTGTGGCCACACCCTGGCCAGCACAGTCTGCACATACACCATGGCGACGAGAACCATGCTTAATACCCACGCTGGCTGCAGACATAAACACACGGCTGCACACCTTGCACACATACTTCTTGTCCTTGCTGTGGACCTGGAGGGACAGAGCAGTCAGTGGAAGGATGCAGTATTGGGGTGAGGAGCACAATCTTTACTAGGCCATGAGAGACACAGGAGGGACAATCCCTATTAGGGAAAGGAGGTAACAGATCTATCTGGAGACAACATGGGCAATATCACTAGAGGCAGCAAATCATCCTGTCTTAAGCAGATGCTATAGGCACCAGAGTACAGTGTCATGCCCCCATCTACAAACTAGGTCAGTCCCAACATATCCATATCCAAGTACTCCCACTTAATGGTATGTAGGTACACTTCTCACTTGGTCATATTGCTCCCTCTGCCTAAAGTACTCTTTCTATAAACTTCCCTGCAGGGCAGGCTGAGGGACTCCTATCAGATCCCTAGAGCAGCTCCAGAGCCCAGCTGCCATTAGCTCTGTACAGGCAGAGGAGCTGGCCTGGAAGCCCAGGTGATGCAGAGCTAAGAAATACAACACTGCTCACCTGGGTGCACAGGACACCGAGCCCACACACAGCTATGGTTGGAGGCTGCAAGTGGACTCTGCCTTCCAGGAAGCCCAGTTTAGATTGGTGGATTGGGCAGCATGGGAGCCACAGTGAAGAATAGAAGGAGAGGGGTCAGCATGGAGTCCCATGAGATGGTGGATGGGAAGCAGACTAGAACCTGGCAGCAGGGCAATAGAGCTGAACCCTAGCCAGGCTGCTATGCACCTTGCTTCCAATGAAAAGGGGCAACTCCTTCTGCCCTCCCAACTGAAAGGCAAAGATAGAGGTTAGCAATTAGGGTCTGCAGAAGAGACATGGCAGCCAGGAAGGGACAGCAGCCATGCTCTGCCCATTGTAGTACTCGGCAGGAAGACACAGTACTCAGTAGAGGGGCCTTGAAAGTACAGAGGACAAAAGTCTGGAGATCCTGGAGGGGACCCAGGAGGCCTGGGCCTGAGGAAGTATGCATAGGAACCAGTGTACTCTGCAGAAAGTTGGCCTATGCAGAATTGCCTTCCTAGAGATGGGCAAGGACAAGGCAAAGGGGATTTGCGGAGTACCTATAGGCATTCTCAGCCTGGCCAGCTCCACTGTGCCTCCTTGCATCTAAGATCTGGCCCTAAGCTTCAAAAATGGAGGTTGGAGGAACCCAGAGGAGACCATAGCTATCCCTGGCCAGGCAGCCCCAAGCCATGCAGATGGACTGTTCTCAGATCAGCACTCTAGAGTAGGTTTCCATAGCTGGACGCTTCCCCAGATGCTAGGCTCCCCTCCTTCCTACATATGCTGCCACCAGGACCTGTTGGAGAACAGGCTACGCAGAGCTTGGGGTGATTATAACTTGTTCTCACCTTTCTGAATCTGCCAGCTCTCCAACTATAAACAGTACACATGTTGGGAAAAGGCTCCTCCACTCACAAAGATCTGCTCACAAGATGTCACTGTAGTTCTATATCTGGGCCTTGAGTGATACCCTCCCCATTCTGGGCTTCCCAGGCCTGCAGTCCCGAAGATCATGCAGAACACCCTCTCCTTTTGAATGCACCTTTCTTGCAGGCAGAGTTGCCTTCTACAGTACTCTGAGTTGTTAAGACTTGAATACAGGCCGGGGGGTGGGTGGTGGTGGTGGCGCACACCTTTAATCCCAGCACTCAGGAGGCAGAGGCAAGCGAATCTTTGTGAGTTCGAGGCCAGCCTGGGCTACAGCCTGAGTTCCAGGAAAGGCACAAAGCTACACAGAGAAACCCTGTCTCGGGAAAACAAACAAACAAACAAACAAATAAACAAAAAAAGACTTGAATACAACTGTCTACTAACTGAGAAAAACTTAAGAAGCCCACAGCATGACCTGGGAAGGGTTGTCACTAGGGAAACTGGTGGCCCTTGGAGCTGAGGTACCTGCCTCACAAGCTTTCCAGAAAGCTTGATTCTAGAAATGAGATCTCCAATAAGGTGGTACACAAGGCACTTCCTTTATGGTTTCTTTGGTTTGTGTGTTTCTCTCCCTCTCTCAGTCTGGTCTGGAACTCTGAATACTCCTGTTTCAGACTCCACAATTCTGTGATTACAAATATGATTCACCATGCTTGGTTTTACGTAGTACAAGGCTTCAAACCCAGAGTTTTCTGTATGTTAGGCAAATACTCTACCAACTGAGCTACGTATCTCCCCAAGCCCTTGTTTTGCCATTTTAAACCCAGAGTTTCCCCTTCTCTACCACAGAAGAACATAACTTAGACCAAGTTGCAGCAAGATCTGTGTCTAATTGTCTAATCTGTTATTTGACAGGAGCAGGCCCAGGAGGCTGACACCACCAAGATTCCTGTGGCCTGCCACTACCATATGAGCTAGGGGCTGTACTCTGATGCTCAGAGACGACAAGGGTGTTTTGGGAGCCCTCTCATCAGAACACTCATCCATCCTAACTGACATGCCCAGGAAGGAAGCACAAGAGAAGGATGCTGGATTTCATGGCAATCTGCTGCTAAGTCCCTTGATGGTGTTGTGGAGCAGTACAAACCCACTCTTTCCTGATCCCTGGGAAAGTACAGCAGTGTGGCTCTCAGCACTGTCTCCACCTATGGAGGAGGCTGTGGTGGTATTGTGTTCCCCAAAATATTGTGCACCCTAATAAACTTATCTGGGGTCAGAGACAGAACAGCCACTAGATACAAAGGCTAGAAAATGATGACACTCACACCTTTAATCCTAGCATTCCAGAGGTAGAAATCCCTCTGGATCTCTGTGAGTTCAAGGCCACATTGGAAACAGCCAGGCATGGTGACACACGCCTTTAATCCCAAGAAGTAAGCCTTTAATCCCAGGGAATGATGGCAGATAGCAGAAAGGTATATAAGGCGTGAAGACCAGGAACTAGAAGCATTTGGCTGGTTAAGCTTTCAGGCTACAAGCAGCAGTTCAGCTGAGATTCATTCTGGATGAGGACTCAGAGGCTTCCAGTATGAGGAAACAGGACCAGCTGAGAAGTTGGCCAGGTGAGGTTAGCTGTGGCTTGTTCTGTCTCTCTGATCTTCCAGTGTTCACCCAAATACTTGGCTCCAGGTTTGTTTTATTAATAAAGACTCTTTAAGATTCCTGCTACAGGAGGCACCTTTGCATGCCAAGAAGGGCAGTAGATATTGCTGTGGTGAACTTGGTGGTTTTGGCTACAGAGCTGCCTCTAATGCAGAGGGCTCCACTTTTTCAAAGATAGACACCCCAAGGAAACTAAAGGATTAAACTACATGGCCCTTTTTCTTGTGAAAACCCTGACATATGTGCATCAACATTATCATCATCATCATCACCATTAAATACAAGATGTCACTACATAGCTGAATCTGAGCCTGGTACACAGGATGTCTTGGAACTCATCATCCTCCTGCCTCCTCCTCCAAAACAGGGGGATTACAGACATGTGTTACCACACCAAACTAAGCTTCCACATTTTAAGTACATTTTTAGGAAGTTTTGCTCAAGAAGATGCAGCAACACACACTGTCAAGACTTTTCAGCACCTATGAGCTGAAAAACAAGACACAGTTCTCTCGGAATAGGGAAGGCTGGGTGGAGGTGCCAGCATCCCACTTAAATTTTTCTGTAAGTCTGTAAAACAATATCCATGAACTTAGGAAAAACCAACACAGAACTAGTGAAAAGTTATTTTTTTTTCTTTTCTTCTTTTCTCTTCTTCTTCTTCTTCTTCTTCTTCCTTCTCCTCCTTCTCCTTCTCCTTCTTCAGCTCTCCCTGTTCTGTTCCACATTCCCCTCTGAAAGGCACCTATTACTGGGGGGTGTCCTGGGTATTCTGCACCCTCCTCCTGATCTGCCTGTCAGGACATCTCAAGCCAGCTCACCATGTGCCCCAGTCTCATACCCCACTAGCACCCTGCACTCACCAGAGTATGTCGCTTCATGTGTTCTCGCCTAGTGAACTTCTTGCCACAGATCTCACAAGGGTAGGGTCGCTCTCCAGTATGTGAGCGCATGTGTCGCTTAAGGATGCACTGGTGCATGGCCGAGAAGCTGCAGTAGGGACACTTGAACTTCTTCCTGATCACTGTGAACTCGTTCACTGAAAGACAGTGGCAGAGACATTAGCACCTGACCCCACCCACACAACCAACCATCTCACTCCACCCCCAAAAAGACAGTCTACTCACTCATCAGAGCACAGGGAGAGGGATACACAGCTCTCAGGAGCCTCCCATAAAACAATCTTCCAGGCCTCTGCTGAGGACAGACCCAGGGCTTTGCTGACTCAGCAGCTTGCTATGGGAGCGAGTAACCCTGCACAGCTGTCCACTCCCTGTCCAGAGCTTCCCTGTACCCATGACCCCACTGGACATCAAGGCATGCTGTGGGGCAAGGGTGCATCAGATGCAACCCTGGAGAGGAAGATAAGACAACCCAGCATTCCAATGTGGCATAGGCCCAAAAGCTAGGGAAAAAAAAAATCAAATGCTTTAATATAGTTCTGGCCTGACACCTGGACAGCACACTGCGGCAAGGACACATCATTGCCATCTCTACTAAGTGGATACAATCAGCCTCAAAAACCCAGGGAACCCTCAGTGTCTCCAACGATAGTCTGCTCTGAGGCCCCAGCCACAGTGTGGGGCTTTAAACTGAACAGCACGGAGAGCAGCCCTGAGGACGCCCGGGTGTCTACAGGCCCCAGTGATGTCAGGGAGACGCTCCACGCTTATGTGACAGGGCCTTTTATTCTCAAATCTCCTGCCATTCTAGGTACCTAGGATGTGCAGGTGAATACTGGGTACTCTGTGCTAAAGAACAAATATAGTACTTGCTAGTCCTGGAGAGACCCTGAGTTTATACCTAGCATCTGCAAGCCAGGCTATGATTCATCACAACAGGCAACTGGTTATTCCCCAGAGACACTGCACACACTCCCAGTTTCTGTGTTCCTAAAAAGGATACTGAGTTGTTCCCTCAGAAAGCTGAGAACACTGCTCCCAAGGCTTCCTCTTACTTAAGATTTAAAATCTTAGCCAGGCCATGGTGATGTACGCCTTTAATCCCAGCACTTGGGAGGCAGAGGCAGGTGGATTTGTGAGTTCAAAGCCAGCCTGGTCTACAAAGCCAGTTCCAGGACAGGCTGGGCTACATAGAGAAATGCTGTCTCAAAACAAACAAACAAACAAAAGGTTTTAAAAATACTTAAGATCTTTGAGTGTGTGTATGTCGGGAGGAGCTGGGGACAGGAGTCAGGAGGGAGATCTATCACAGCCTAGAGAATAAAACTAGATACTGTGGTCAGCAATCTGATTTCTTTTGGGTCTCTTTTCCTTGTATGAACACTATGTGTACTTAAAGAACTGAGATCATGTGTATACAGGACATAATATCATATGTAACATATTGTGACCTCATTTTTTTTTTTTTTTTTTTTTTTTTTTTTTTGGTTTTTCGAGACAGGGTTTCTCTGTGTAGCTTTGCACCTTTCCTGGAACTCACTTGGTAGCCCAGACTGGCCTCGAACTCACAGAGATCCTCCTGGCTCTGCCTCCCGAGTGCTGGGATTAAAGGCATGCGCCACCGCCGCCCAGCAACCACATATCTTTTAAGTGTTTGAATAAACTGCAATTTAATGGAGATGGTGTTGTTGGACATCTACACTGCTTCCATTTTTTTGTTGACAGAAATGCTTCAGTGGGTCTCTACAAACAACTCTGCACAGATCCTGAGAGGTAGAATCTGTTTCCATTTGCTGTGCCTTCAGCCAACCCCAGTGCCCAGTACCAGGGGAGTATGTGAATGAGTGCAGTTCTTGCAGACAGGCCTTCCCAAAAGTGGGTCCCAGTAGGAGAATGGAGCATCTGGCAGTGGTTGCTGTGTGATGCCAGGGTGTCTGTGTATACTAGATGGGAGGCATAGAGGCAAAGCCGCTGACACTTGACTGCATGACCAGGACTAGCAGGACACTCATGATATGCCAAAGGGGACGTACATGTCTGGCCACTACCCACACCACTCCTGGGAGCTTCCAAAAGGGAAATCATGAACTGCTTTTTGTCTTTTCCTTTAGGCCATGGCTTGGCTCACATCACAGGCAATAGAACACTGTTCCTCAGTCTAGTCTCATACATCCATAATGGCCTTTCTCACTCCCATGATTCCTAGTTTCCTCTTATCACACGTAAAATAAACAGGCTACTCAAAGATAGGAAGGGGAAACAAGAAACCAAGTTAAACAATGTTTTCTTTAAAGATACCTTGGGAGTGTATCCATTATTTCTATCCTCTTATAAACACAAAAATTGAACTTTGGAATGATGGTGCTGCTGAGATGGCTCAACAATTAAAGAGTGCATACCATCCTTGAAGAGGACCTAAGTTTGGTTCCCAGCATGCACAGCCACCTATAACTCCAACTCCAAGTGGCCCAATACCCTCTTCTGACCCCACACATACATACATTAAAAACAAAGAACTGAAATTTTTAAATTACAGGGACTGGAGAAATGATTCAGTGGTTAAGAACATTTGCTGCTCTTGTTGAGGATTCAAGTGGTTTACAATTGTCTATAATTCCAATTCCAGGGGATCTGGTGTCCTCTTCTGACCTCTGTCAGCACCAGACATGCATGTGATGCACATCTATAGATGCAAGCAAACATTCATATGCATAAAATAAAAATTTTTAAATTTAAATATTTTAATTGCATATTTATATTTAAGTACATAACTCAGACATACATATTAAATAAATACTTATAAATAGAAAGCTTTTTTGCTTTTGTTTTTTGGAGAGAGGGTTTCACTATATAGCTCTGGCTGTTCTAGAACTCACTATGTAGATCAGAGTGGCCTCAAACTCACAGAGATCCACCTGTTCTCAAGGGCTGAGATTAAAGACATGTACCACTTCACCTAAGTATAGAAAGATTCCTTTCTTAGAAAAACAACTTAGGCCAGGTGGTGGTGGTGGTGGCGGCGGCGGTTGTGCACGCCTTTAATCCCAGCACTTGGGAAGCAGAGCCAGGTGGATCTCTGTGAGTTCGAGGCCAGCCTGGTCTACAGACAGAGATCCAGGACAGGCACCAAAACTACACAGAGAAACCTTGTCTCAAAAAAACAAAAAACAAAAAAAAAAAAAAAAAGAAAGAAAGAAAAGAAAAACAACTTAGACTAGACATGCACCATGACCCCATCCTTGTGACAGGCTTTGTCCAGAGTGGCAGATAGATGCTCCGCTTAAACCCTGTACTCCCAAGCCAGGCAGTGGTGGCACACGCCTTTAATCCCAGCATTTGGAAGGCAGAAGTAGGTGGATCTCTGAGTTCAAGTCCAGCCTGGTCTACAAAGTGAGTTCCCAGACAGCCAGAGCAACACAGAGAGACCCTGTCTGGAAAAACCAAAAAAATAGAAGGAAAATGCAGACCAAGAAACTACAAAGTCAGGACATAAGATGACATCAACAACAGGAGGGACTCCCCAGCGTCAGCCTGCACACCTAGGGTTATGACACTTACATATGGGAAATGTCTTTTGAAACTGCCTATGACTGAACAACTGCTTTTCTTTTTGTAAACTGTAGTTTGGTCTCATATTTTTATTGCTGCCAAGCCATAAGATGCCACCTTCAGACAACAACACCCCTCTGGCTGTAGAATGCACAAGTGGTCACTCAGGAAGCTCTTCATTACTGCCAAGAATGCAGAGCACCACCAGTGACTGGGACAGGATAGGCAGGTTTGCTGTATGCAGACCTTGAAGATTACGTCAGTGGGCACTTCCAGAATCAACCATGAATGGTCCTGTGTGTGGTTACTCATCGAGTGACAATTTCCAAAATACTGCACTTGTGATGCATCACATTAGTGGAACCAGACAAGTTATGGCTCACTTTTCCATTTATAAATGTACTAGGATGTCATTTTTTGTATTAAAATAACAAAATTAAGTAAAGAATAAACATATTCAAATTATTTTCAAACATTTGTTATTATATTTATTTATTTATTTGTTTGTTTGTTTATTTATTTATTTATTTATGGGCATGCATGAGGTAGTTAGATGACAACTTGCAGGAGTTGGTTCTTGCCTTCCATTGTGTGGGCTCAGGGAATCAAACTCAGGTAGTCAGGCTTGGTGGTTAGTGTCTTTACTTGCTGAGTCATCTTGTCTGTCACTCAGAAAAATTTAATCTTCTATAAAGTGTGCATATCTTAAGAATCATCTGCAACATACTCAGAGGATCCTCTCAAGCCAACCAGAGTCAGCCCCTAAAGGCAGTGAATGACTGTTCTACCCTTTTGTTTTGCTATCCTAGGACTTTGTGTCTGTGGAGTTATCTGATCATGACTGGCTGGATTCAGTCAACATCAGTCTGGGGAAGTGCAGTTAGTTCTTGTTTGTTGCAGCATAGTATTCCTTTGTGGGACACAGCAAGCCCATTTCTGAAGACTCATCTGGGCCTAGAAAGCAGTGGTGTTGAAATGGGGCCTACATGTGTGCCTTGGTGGTCAGGAACTCGTATCTCTGTTAGGCACCCAAAAAAGGAAATGGACCACAGACTAGTGGCTAAGCAGCTTTCCCAAAGTTTACAATCCAACTCAAGTTACTTTTTGTGCATGGTAAGAAGAGCACAGGATTTTCCTTCTGGGTGGATTTCCAATTCTCTCAGTACCATGTGTCAGACACACAAAGTAGCCACTCATCCATTCACCAGTCTCTACTGCAGCAATTCTGAACAGATAATGCAGAATCAGCCTGTGTCAAGTTTCTCTCCATTTACCATGGTCTCTATTTTCTGTATTTGAAACTTTGATACAGGGGACCCTGGAGGGATGGCTGCTTCCAGGCCTGGTCATTCCCTAAAGTAAATGACCGGCTGTGATGGTTAATATTGTCAACTTGACAGTATTTATAATCACCAAAGAGCCTCTGGGTATGCCTGTAAAGGATCACATAAATTGGGTTGAGGTGGGAAGATCCACCCTAAATGTCTGCAGTATCATTCTATGGGCTAGGGTTCTAGACTGCACAAAAAGGAAAAGTTCAGCTGAGCACCAGCATCCATCACTCCCTGCTTCCTGACAGCAGGTACAA